ATATTTTAAGAAAATCCGTACAAATCCAAGGTTCAAACTTTGTGCAACAGTAAAAAAAACAACACACTTTCGTACAAATTTCGAGCTTTTTAATTCGATTTCCCAGATTTATTTTGAGTGTGAGGGTTAGCCCATTAAATTTTAATATAACTAAGTTNGATAAAAGAGACATTTTCTTTGGATTCAGTACTAAAATTTTACTTTTTAATAGCATTTCAAGTGCTTATCAAAACTTTACGAGAAGATTTGACCATTTATCTTAATATTAATCAATTTTAATTATTTTTTGTAAAAATACGGTTTATATTTTAAGAAAATCCGTACAAATCCAAGGTTCAAACTTTGTGCAACAGTAAAAAAAACAACACACTTTCGTACAAATTTCGAGCTTTTTAATTCGATTTCCCAGATTTATTTTGAGTGTGAGGGTTAGCCCATTAAATTTTAATATAACTAAGTTTTTTAAGATTTCTTTGATGAAGGTGTTGGTAATTTTCTCCATATAAAAAATCGTCGAACGCACTTCGTATGGAAGAAAATGGCTGACATCGTCGACAAAAAAAAAATTGCCAAGTTCAACGGAAAGTCCCAGCTACTTTAAACTTGCACTTTATTATACTAAAATTGAATGGGCTAAAAACTAAAGAATATTAAAAAAGCTTGACATTTTTACGAAAGTATGTTGGTTTTTGGATGTTTCGCAAAGATTTAATCTTGGGTTTATATAGTTTTTCTTAAAGAATACATTATATCTTATAAACAGATAGTTAAAATTAAAGAATAATAAAATAAATAGTAAAAACTTGTCAATATGTGAGTGCCGTTAAGGTATTATATTTAAGAAAATCTCTTCTTATAACTAACGAAGACTTTGTTTCTATATAAAGCTGACTTCGACATTTTGTTTTAATAAAACAGTATCGAAAAGTTTCGTTAAAAATTTGCCTAGGCTATATTATACTGGCCTAGGCTATATTATAGTCGGCCGCTGTGGTGTAGTGGTAAGCAGTGCGCGCTTTCACTCACCAGCACCTGGGTTCAAGCCCTGGTCAAAGCAACATCGCAAAAAATTTAGAAAAAGGTTTTTTCTTAACAGCGGTCGTCCCTCGGCAGGCAATGGCAAACCTCCGAGTGTATTTCTGCCATGAAAAACAGCTTCTCATAAAAATACACTCGCCGTTCGGAGTCGGCGTAAAACTGTAGGTCCCTCCGCTTTGTGTGACAATATCAAGGCGCACGCCACAAGATGGAGGAGAAGCTCGGCCAAACACTAACATATGTGTAAGCGCCAATCTATTATTATTATTATTATTATTATTATATTATACTGGTTCGTTCAAGCCATTTTTCAGAACTTACAAAGGTAAATACGAACAGGCGAACAAAAGAGAATACAAAAAATTTCTTGCTGTGAATTTTCAAAACTATATATTTTTAGTATTCAATACAAATATTTACTAGTACTGCGTAGTAGGAAAGTATATTGTAAATGAAATTGTATCAAAAAAGTACAATTGTACCAAAAATGCCAACACTGTTCTGTATACATACTTATTTTTCTTTTTCACTTTTTTACTCTTATTTTATCTTACAGCTTCGCTAAAAGCACTTCTACCAACGCTTGGGTTACCAAATTTTCGCCAATTGATAAAATTTTGCGATTTAAATTCATTTAAAATAATAAGGGTATTCATCAAACCTTATAAATGCATTGTAAACCGTATAAACTTATAATTGTGTAAACCTTATAAATGAACTGTCAAAATTTGTATGGAAACTCGTTTACACATTTCTGATAAATTTATCCAGCGATTTCACTGAATAAACTTGATAAACTGAAGACAATGCAACTCTGTCGCAACTCTAGCTATGTTTTCTTAGGCAATAATCGGGATCCGCATACAAATTTTGCACGCAAATTCAACAACGATATGATCCTGATAGAGATCTGGTTCAATTATTATCCCGTCTGTTTGTTTTGTTTCACTGATAATTCGCAAAGTTTGGTAGCCGTGACAAATGAATTCATACACAAACAGACATTCTGCCATTGTTTCTTATAACTTGCTTCAAATAAATAGAGTGACACTGCGATTTATAACCAAAGAAAACACGACTATTGTCGCATGTGTAAACGAAAAGAGAGTGTGGGTCGTTCATGTAACAGAGTGCATAAACTTATGAGATTATCTGCTTGATAAAGTTATCGGTTTAGATGAATACCACTAATGTAAATAACGATTCGTGTTGAATCGAAAATCGCCTCGTCTAAATAGGGCTGGCAACTTTTTCACTTTCAACTTCGTATTAAATTTTTGTTGCCTGTAAATCGGCTCGTGCGAATACCCCATTATGGGGATAAAGTTTCCAGAGGTAAAATTTTAGGTAGCACACAATTTCTTACACACATGGTTGCTTTTCAGCACCAATGAAAGAAACTTAAGAAACATTAAAAAAATATGCATATAGTGCATTAATTTTTGAAAGAAATACCATATAATGTATGTACTCTGATTAATAATATTAAAAAGTGTATTATAACCACCATTTAATGTTATATTTGATACAAATTAATTTGCTACTCGGAACGCTCTGCGCATTGCCACTGAATATTACGTTTACTTAAAATTACATCCCTGGTCCTTGTTCTTTCTATACTGCATCGTGGTGAATTCACATTTCTCAGAAATTTGACAACAAAACAAAATGAAGGGAGTATTTGATTTGCTAATTTTTGCGATTTCTATTGTTTAATGTAAATTTTATGTATTTTTACGCAGAAAGGAGTTAAGTGGTAAAATACTGTGAATACAAGATGTGTTATACACTTTTTACAAAAAAAAGGGGGATTCCTCCTCTCTCTCCTCGGCAACACAGAAAGGAGAATTCTACGTAGTAAGGGTTATAATCCCTAAGCCCTTTCATTTTATTATTTTAAAATTTTAATCCTTATTTGCATTTGCCAGTTTTGGGAGATAAGTAAGTAAGCACGTCTTTTTCATGTGTATTTTTTCTTAGACTTTGTATAAAAAAAAAGAAAAAAACTGTGTGGGGTTGGTCGAATGAATGCCCTCCTAGTCACCAGTTCCGAGTCTTTTCGATTGCTGAGTATGAGGCCTTATGTTGGACAAAAGACGGAGTATAAAGGACCCAAATGGTGGAAATTAGCCTATGGTTACAGAAGATATGTAATAAAGTTATCGACAAAGACTTGCGTGCCGCTTGCCCTTTTCTCCCAAACCCGCTGGTAAACATAAATGAAAGTTAAAATATAAAAACTAATTGATAAAATTTAAGTAAAATCTGCGGAAAATTAACAATAAAAACGACTTTTTTTACATGCACTTTTCTCTCAAAGTGTTTACCGGTAAACCCAAATGAAGGTTAAAATTTAAAAACGAATTAAAAAAATTAAGTAAAATCTGTGGATAATTAACAATAAACTAATTTTTTCGCAAAATCTATAAAGGTTCCTTTTATTTTTCAAAAAAAACTGTGCACCAGTTATTATTTTGCACCCTGTATATGATAAAATATTAATAGCTGGAAAAAGGAGTACAAAAGAAGTACAAAACTAATAAAGGAGTACATTTCCACATATTTTTTTTGGGAGTACAAGGGAGTACAATGCAATAAAAAGGAGTACTTTTACTCTCAAAAGCAGTACGTCTGGCAACCCTAGTCTGGCAAAGAAACGCGGCCCATTCTACGTGCCTGCAGAAGGCTAATTGGCTTCTGTGATCTGTATCCGCGGTATCAACAAAGTTGCACCAAAAGTGCGTAAAGTTTTACTGTTGTTCCGTTTTCGCCACATTAACCCCAGTTTTTCAGTCAAATCTTAAATCAGTTCGTGAATTGATCTACAAACGTGGAATTGTCAAGCACAACCATCAACGACTCAATCTCTGACAACTTTGTGATCGAACGCAAATTGCGCAAAGCGCACGATATTCAGTGCGTTGATTATTTGGCGCACGAAATATTCACTGTTGGATCCCACTTCAATACAGCCTCCAACTTCCTCTGGCCACTCAAGCTCAACACCAACCGGCGGCTGGCGCAAGAGGGCTAATCATTACGTTGAGGTTGGTGATTTCGGTAACCGTGAAGACAAGATCAACAAACTGCTGCGCAAGATGGCTTAAAGCAATTTTTTGGTGTACAAAATATAAATAATAAATATATAATAGATAAAAATAGAAAATGTTTTTGGTTTTAAGTAAGTTGTTGATCGAATTTAATATATATTATTGTTGTTGTTGTAGGCTAGTCGATCGATTACTTTCGTGTGCAAGAAAACCACTTTTTTCTTCACGTTTTGCCCAACGTTTCGCTAATCACCTTAGCATCTTCAGGGGCGCATCTTTATTTACATAGACATCAACAATAAACAAAGAACAATGTTATGGACAAATATTGATATATGTATGTACGTAATTACAAAAATTAGGTTAAATATTTGAAAAACAACAAACGAAGATACAAACACAAAGGGACAATAACAGGTTTTTTGATTTTAACTGTGGCACTTACTCATAGTTAAGATTTAATTTACACTGGACATTTGGAAATATTTTGAAAAATTGAACACCAAAAACATTGAAACGTATTGAACAGTGAACATTAAACATTAACTTATTAAAAATATTGATACCATCGCTGTGTGGTACTCTCGTCATACTAAATGTTTATTACAAGCATAGCATATAAGCAGCCGCGATATCATCCGTGTCCTCCTTCTTGTTAATTGTTTTTTCTCTTTTCTGTAATATTCGTAGGCTTTCTATAGTGAATCTCGCTTTTTCCCTCCGTTCCTTGTCTAATATTTTGACGTTGGCTAAATCAGCTGTGTGACCACTATCTTGTATGTGTTGCGCCAAAGCTGTGCTTTGCTTATTTTTCTTTATATCTGCTTCGTGCTCTGACAGACGAACGCCCAATGCTCTCTTAGTCGTTCCTATATAAACTTTGTTGCAGTTTTCGTTTTTGCTTCCTTTGCAAGTTATTTCGTATACCACGTTGCTTTGCTGCTGGGGCGGTAGTGGCGTTTTTGTTTTGGTAAAGATCGAAGAAAGTGTGCAGTTTGATCGGTACGCCAACGTTACATTAAGGTTGTTGGTGTTTATGTCATCGTTAAATTGTTGGTAAAAGCGAGGGATGTATGTGACACTATAATATCGCTTGTTGTCATTGGGTGTTTTCGTGTCCGGTACTCTCTTAATTTCGTTGTTTATTTCTGACGTTTTCTGTTTTATTAGGCTTTGTATTAAGTGGTGTGGGTAGTTGTTGCTTACCAGAATTTTGTTTATTTTCTTTATGTTCGTGTCTCTAAATTGTTGGTGACTTATCGTTAGTACTTTGTGGATTAGATTTCTAGCTGTGTTAATTTTGTATTTCAAAGGTTGCGAAGATAAGTAATTTATTAGACGCCCAGAGGAAGTAGGCTTTGAGTACCAGTCAAGAAGAATGGCGTTACTTTTTCGGTGGATCATGACATCCAAAAAAGGTATACGTAAATTGTTCTCTGATTCCATCGTGAATTGTAATTTAGGATGATATTCGTTGAGTGTTTTAAGAATTATATCCGCGTCGTTTCGTTTTATAATAGCAAATATATCGTCTACGTACTTGACAATGAACTTGATGTCAATGTTGAAATTTTCTTTGAGGCTCATAAAGGTGTTGTCTAATAAGTCGTCCATTACAACGTCAGCTATTGTAATTGAAAGGGGGTTGCCCATTGGCATACCAAAAGTTTGTGCGTAGAAGTTACCATTGCATTCGAAATAGTTGTTATCTCTCAGACAAAAGTTTAAAATATTCTGAAATTTGTTTCTGGGGATTCCTGTGCTCTGCTGAATTCTATCATACTTATTCATGATAATTTTGACCGCTAAATGTGTTGGAATATTTGTGAATAGAGAAATCACATCAAATGATACCAACAATTCTTCCTTGCTTTTTGTAATTACGTACATACATATATCAATATTTGTCGATAACATTGTTCTTTGTTTATTGTTGATGTCTATGTAAATAAAGATGCGCCCCTGAAGATGCTAAGGTGATTAGCGAAACGTTGGGCAAAACGTGAAGAAAAAAGTGGTTTTCTTGCACACGAAAGTAATCGATCGACTAGCCTACAACAACAACAGAAAATGTTTTTTTTTTGTAATTTTCTGAAGGTTTAAATCGCAAATATGCCAATCGGAAGGCAGTGTATATTCGCAATTTCTTGAATAGTGTCGGAATTCTATTGCCGTTTCTAAATGCCATTTCAAAAGGTTCCAATCCACAAATTTAATTACTTGTTTTGATTTTTCAGCTCATTAATGATGCAACCAGGGTTGCATTTACTGTCTATGAAAGTATTTTATGAAGCGTTCCAAAATTAGCTCCGAGCAACTAAAAGTTGGTTCAGCTTAAGTGAAATAGTTTTTTGTTAAATTTTTATTCCTGGCACTTATAAAAAAAAAAATTTGATCAATATTAATATATGAAATGAAGTAAATAAAAATCTACGAATACATTTCTTGAATATTTTGTCATAGAGCCGGTATTAAATACAGACATAACGCCGTCGGGCGTTGGTCTTGACGTATATAGAATTAATGCATTAGAGAGATAAATATACAAGCTAAGATTTTTTTGTTAATTAACGATGCAAGTTGCTCTGCAAACGTCAAGCTGTGAGGTTGTACTTTATTGTGCTCTGATTTTGGCTTTCTATTTGCTAAGTTTATTGTGCTAATCCCGAGTTAAAGTAGTGATAAAAAGTGCTTATGAGCATTATAGTGTGAAATAATTGAAGCTAAGTGAAAGTTATTGTGTTTTGTATTAAACTAAATCTAACTAAATTTCACTAGCATACATTCTAATCTTGCCGAGTCATTTGTTGCTATCATTGTTGTTGCATCCTTTGTAGTTAACTGAATTCATTTTGCTTTTGCACATTTGTTCTACACTTTTTGTTTACTTCTTCTAGTAATTCTTGTCACAGCTGTTTGCGTTGCGTTTATTAAGTGTCATAATTACAGTGATACTCAAACTGTTCACTACATTTATTTAAAGCTATTTACATCAGCTCCTTAATTGTCATAATTTATTTTGTTTGTCTTTTTATTAACGAGTGTTATTACATAAATCTTTCAATATGAAGTGCGATCTTGATACTTACCAAATTAAAAGCGATTCTGAACGCTACTTATCGTGCTGGCTGTGTGATGGTATTTACAATCTGAAATGTGCTGGTTTGACGGGAAGAATTCTGGACGCTATTAATGATGGCAAGGGCCCTCGCTGGTCTTGCGTAAAGTGCAGGTCAACCGAAGTTGATATTTTCAAGCTATTTAGGCAAACCAGAAATGGTTTTACAGAAATGAGAAAAGAATTGTCGGTACTGACAGAAAAATTTAAGCATTATTAAAATGTGTTTAAATCATTCAAATGCTTGGATACCTTGAAATCTGTTAAGAATATCCGCGTGTCTAAACGTAAGCGTCTTCATAGTCCATCTAAGGAAATAATTGCCGTTGCACGTCAGAATAATCATCCGACTGACTTAATTAATCTATCTTCTCCATGTCCTCCAGCATCAGAATCCTCAGTCTTAAAAGAGCGTGCAACGAAATCTGCTTCGGATAATAACGAGCCTGAAGTATCTTCCCCTTCTCCCATTGAAGTGGTGGCATCATCTTCAAAGCTTCCACCGCCTTCCCTATCCTCAACTACTAACGCAGTAACTCAACACCGTCCGCCGGTACTCCAGTCTGATACAAGGAAACTAGTTGTGGTTCCGCCAAAGAAATCAATCTTTGTCTCTAGATTTTCGAGAGACACTACCGAAGACGATATAACGCTTTATATCTCATCAAAAATTACAACTGTCGACTTAAGCATCAGAAAATTTAATTTTAAATACGAAAGAAATATTGCCTCATTTAAAATTGATGCAAATTTAGATAATTTTAATGCGCTGCTTAGTAGTTCTTTTTGGCCCCCCGGAGCTTTCGTTCGAGAATTCGAATATAGGCTCAAAAAAGGAAATATTAGCTATTATTCCCCGTCAGAACACTGAATCAAAAAACTAATTATTAAATCTGCTTTAAGTATTTATTACCAAAATGTAAGAGGCTTAAATACTAAATTAACGAACTTATACCTTAAAGGCCTTGAATGTAATTATAATATTCTTTCTTTTACTGAAACTTGGCTGAAACCTCACATTTTCAATTCAGAGATTCTTCCAAATAATTATCATATCTATAGACAAGATAGGGAGGACAGAATCGGCGGTGGCGTGCTCTTCGCTGTAGACTCTTCAATACCATCTGGACACATTGGTGTATTCACGACTCATCTCTTTACTGAAATCAGTTAATTTACTGACTAAACCCTCTGGCCCGTAGTCATAGTCAAAATAAAGTCGACTTTAAAGTTAGTTGCAGCTTTTTTGACAGATATCCCATTGAAAATTATGTCAAAAAGCTGCAAGCATATCATGGAACATCATTGACAATGATTTCGTACCTTTCGCGTCTAGTGCGTGCAACAACGTATTTTTAGAGGAGATGGCTGAAGTCTGCCTAACTCAGATTAATGTCCTTCACAATAAGTTTGGTAAAGTATTAGATCTTGTTTATGTTGATGATGCATCTAAGTGCGTTGTAAATAAGTGTGATCCACTAGTTTTGCCCGAAGATGTCTACCACCCTGCTATGGAGGTATCTTGCGAAGTTATAAGTGATGGTCAAAATTGCAGTACCCAAGCATACGAACCAAATATTCGCTTTGATTTTTCGAAAGCCAACTTTAAAAAGCTTAACAAAGAACTGTCTAAATTGTCGTGGCCTGCATATAAAGAAAATATTGAAGAAAGCGTTGCACTTTTTAGCTTTACTTTACATAAATCATTTGAAAAGCATGTGCCTAAACGCATGTATGTTCCTGAAGAACAAACACAGTTATGGTTCACTAAAGAACTGAGAAATTTGAAAAACAAAAAGTCGCGTTATTTTAGATTACACAAAAAAACCGGTTGGTGGGTTTCCTTCCGCCATGAAGTATCAAAATACCGCCTCTAGTGATAATCAAACAATTTCTAACATGTTCGCTCAGTTTTTTAAATCCAATTATTCCATTAACTCACATGCTAACATTGACTATCCTTTTAAACTATGTCCAATGAACTCAATAAATATCCCAGTAATATCTCCCGATGATGTAGTAGTTTATCTGAAATCCTTAAAGCAGTCCTTCAGTTATGGTCCTGACCAGATCCCTACCTGTATTCTTATAAATTGTGCTGATTATCTCTATGAGCCGTTAACAGCGTTATTTAATTTGTCTCTTAAAGAGGGCGTTTTTCCAACTATATGGAAGGAATCGTTCATAACCCCGTTACATAAAAGCGGTAGCAGATCTTCAGTGGAGAACTACCGGGGAATAGCTAAGCTTTCTGCAATTCCTAAATTATTTGAAGCAATTATAACAAATCAGTTGACGCATTCTATCTCTTCTAGCATTTCATATAGTCAACATGGATTTTGCAAGGGCAAATCAACTTCTACAAATTTACTTGAATTAACATCCTATATCTCAAAAGCATTTAGTGAAAGCAAAACTGTTGATGTTATATATACTGACTTCAGTAAAGCATTTGACAAAGTGTGCCACTCGTTGCTCATCTATAAACTTGATCTTCTTGTTCTTCCGCCTAATTTTCTACGTTGGATCTCTTCATACCTCTATGATAGATCACAAAGGGTGATGTTTAAAAATACTATCTCTGACGTCATTGATGTTACTTCAGGAGTCCCTCAAGGTAGCCACCTAATCCCGGTTATGTTCTTGCTTTTTATAAACGATATTTCTACAGATATACAATTTTCCAAAATGTTAATGTATGCAGATGATGTAAAGCTTTATTAATCGTACGTTTCAATTAAAGAAAGGTCTTTGCTACAATCAGACTTAAGCAGCATGTGTTACCGCCGATTAGTACGGCCGAACAGTGAAATTCGATCTGGCAACACTGAACCGTTTCTTATTCTCCGTATCAATTTCTTATCCTTTTGTACTGTTTGCCTTTTTCAACATCTACATGCATCTTGTATTTTCTATTAAATTTATCTGAATAACTGCGAATGTAAATTTCTATATATGTATATAACTGCAAGCAATTTAAACTGTAAAAACGTGTAGTGAGTTCAATACAAAAAGTTTTAAAGTGCGTAGCCACATGCGTACTATATAAAATTTGTGTTTTATTTCAGTATCCTTCACGTTTGCCGCGCTATAAACTAAGCGCAACATTCTTTAAAACTTTTTTGGCAATATTCTCCAAAACGTTTAATATTGATTTGAACTATAAATATAAAATGCCTGCAAATTGCAACAAATGTGTCGAACCGGACAACGACAGAATGGTTCAATGCGATCATTGCAACGCCTGGTACCACTTCGACTGTGTTTCAGTCGATAGCAACGTGGCCGACGTCAGCTGAACTTGCGCAACGTGTCAGCAGACCCCATCGCCCATCAGCGTGGGACCGACAGCTTCGTCATCGCAAACCTTTGTGCAAGGTAACCGGCAAGTGCAATTTGCACCATCGTTTCTTACTACAATAGCAACTCAAAGTTCGGCGCCCCACGTGATGATGTCCGGAGCAACACAATCGCGGACTATTACTTCACAAGCCTTTGCGTCAGCTATGCCGACGCATATTACATTGCCGCCCACCACCGCCATAAGCACATGTCAGACATCTTCGAATTTTGCACCGTCTACCACAGGCAATAAGGTTCAGCATACTTCGACGACGACTGCGGCTACAGGGCACCTTTCAATGCCCCCGGCAACGGTATCGGCATCACGCTTAGGAGTCAATGTGGTAACGTCCCCGATCGCATCGAGCGCTCAAATCGGAAACCTTTTAATAGGCACATCGTAAGCTCTAGGCAATTTCGGTATGCACCGTAATCTCCAGCTAGAACGGCTGGAAGAAGAAATGAAAATCCAGCAGCAATACTTGGATGAGAAATATAAAATTTTATCACAATACAACGATTTACCTTTAACTAGTTCCTCAATGGTCGCGCCAAGTCACGGGCCTACAACAGCACAGTTAGCCGCCAGGCAAGCTATTCCGAAACAACTTCCCATGTTCAATGGGGACCCAGAAGAATGGCCGCTATTCATTAGCACATTCCAAAACAGCACCGCAGTGGCGGGCTATACGAACGCTGAAAACCTTATAAGTCTTGCCTGAAAGGAAAAAGAACGGGACATGGTTAAAAGCAAATTGTTTTTACAGTCCATGGTACCCGAGGTAATTAAAACACTTGAAATGTGCTTTGGTAGACCTGAACACATAATCGAGCGTTTAATGATCAGAGCGCGCAGCATGTCACAGCTCAAGGACAAACTGGAAAGTCTAATTGAGTTTGCACTGTACGTGAGAAATATTTGCACAACGATGGAAGGCTGCCAGATGCATATGCATTTACACAATCCGCTGCTCGTAAAAGAGTTGGTTGACTAACTACCAAATAACCACAAATTGAGTTGGGCAGTTCATCCAAAAGATATCAACATACCTGTCGTCAAACAATTCAGCGACTGGCTTTATAGTCTGGCTGAAGCAGCGAGCACTGTCGTTAATCTAGCGCCAAGTAGAGGTGCCGCAGCAGTTAATACTCATCGAGTGGAAACGCTTCCACAAAATCTACGAAACCTTAAGCAATGCAGCGTTTGCGATAGTGAGGAACACATAGTTGCCACAATGTGAGGTTTTTAAAACCTTACACTGCAACGTAAATGGGAAGTGGTCAAAAATAAAAACCTTTGTCGTCAGTGTTTGAACATACATAAGCGTAGGTGTTTCTTGAATAAAACTTGCGGTAGAGATGGTTGCCAATTGAAACGTCATCCACTACTACACAATGCAAATGCAGCAAAGAATATAGCACAACCGGGTTTTGTAAGTATAAGCGAGTCGTCGGACGCTCAGGGAATACGCATACCAGCATTCACGAAGAACATCAGCCGTTGTTTAGAATAGTTCCAGTCCGCATTCACTCAAATAACAAAACAATTAATATACGCATTCTTAGACGAAGGGTCCTCTGTTACGCTAATCGAGAAGACGGTGTTGGACGAACTAGAGGTTAAGGGTGAACAAGAACCCCTATACTTGCGGTGGACGGGAAGCACCAAGCGCATTGAGGAAGATTCCGTCAAAGCCACTATCAAAGTCTCAAGTATCACTAACGCACAGAAATATTCGTTAAGGGACGTACATACTGTCAATGGTCTTGACACAATCAATTAAAGCGTCCACCCTGTGCGAGAAGTACCCATATTTGACCGGGTTGCCGATTGCTTCATACAATAATATAAAACCGTCCTTGTTGATTGGAGTCGATAATTGGAAATTAGCAGTGCCACAAAAAATTGAAGAGGGGTTATGGTTCCAGCCTATAGCTTCAAAAACGCGTCTAGGTTGGACGCTGCAAGGATGTCAGGCGAGTCGTACGATAAAGCACCGATTGAACATTAACACGTGTGATTGCCAAAAACAGTATGACAAGCTACATGGAACTGTGAAAGAGTTTTTCGCTATGGAATGCCCCAAACCGACGCAGCTGCTATCACAGGACGACGAGAAAGCTGTCAGTATGTTGAACGACACTTGCTGAAAAGTTGACGGCCACTACGAGATCGGTCTTTTATGGCGCGACCCAAATAAGAGGTTACCGGAAAGCTATAGTCACTGTTTACAACGATTAGACTGTCTAAAACGGAAGCTAGATAAAGACACCGTCTTGGAATCCATGATTAAGGGCCAAATTGACAACTTAATCGTCAAAGGGTACGCGCGGAAACTGTCGCCAGCTGAAGCCGCGATCCCAAAGGGGAAAATATGGTACCTACCGATATTCCTGGTAACAAACCAAAACAAGCCCGGTAAAACTCGGCTGGTATGGGATGCAGCCGCGAAGGCGAACGGAGCATCACTTAACGACTTTCTTCTCAGCGGCCCAGATTTGCTAAACTCCCTAGTGAATATTCTATTGGCATTTAGAGTAGGCAAGGTTGGTGTATGCGGCGACATCGCCGAAATGTTTCATCGTGTTAACATACGAGAAGGCGACATGCACGCGCAGCGCTTCTTGTGGTACGATGAAGGCGACAAAGCTCGGTATCCAAGCATTTACGTCAAGCGCGCTATGACGTTTGGCCTAAATTGTGCGCCTTGCATCGCACACTTTATACGCGACAAAAATGCAGACGACTTCAAGGACCAGTTCCCTCGGGCAGTTGAGGCAATTAAGAAAAGTCATTATGTGGACGACCTGATCGAAAGTGCAGATGACGAAAAATCCTCTCTGGAACTAGCAAAGCAAATAAAACAAATCCACGCGGCTGCCGGCAAATCCGTGGTCGGTCTTCAAACTTGACGTCCGTAGTCGAGAAGCTAGAGGAAGATCCAATTACTACCGCGAAAATTAAAGAATGGGGCTCGGCGAAGAAGGTCCTAGGTATGTTTTGGGACCCCTTTAATGACAGTTTTAAGTATATTTTCAGGTTCACGAAGCGTCGTCGAGACGTTGTCAGTGAATCACTCATACCAACAAAAAGGGAGATTCTGCAAGTACTTATGTCAATCTTCGACGCACTTGGATTCGTAAGCTGCTATACCATAGGCCTAAAAATTATACTGCAAGAATTATGGCGCGCCGGAATCGCTTGGGACGAACCGTTGCGCGACGATCTAAACAACAAATGGTGTCAATGGAAAAACTTAATGCAGCTTATACGTGACGTCAATATATCCAAATGTTTTTCTCCATTATTGCAAGATGCACAAGACGTCCAACTGCATACTTTCGTGGACGCGGGGGAGGGCGGCTACGCAGCAGTCTGCTATCTGCGGGTTAAGAGAGATGACGATGTAACGGTTTCCCTTGTAGTCGCGAAATCAAAAGTTGCGCCATTGAAACCACTCTCTATCCCAAGGCTTGAGTTGCAAGCAGCCGTGATCGGCACAAGGCTGGCCGATATGGTAACGAGTGTGCAGCGCATCCCTATTAAGTCGAAGCATTGGTGGACAGATTCCAAAACAGTACTGCGATGGCGTTGGGTTCCATCGAAAGCTAACCCCGCCGACGTAGGCACAAAATTTACAACGCGATCGAACTACCGGCTCTGGTTTACTGGCCCGGATTTCTTAGTTTTGGACCAAAAAGCATGACCGCAGTGTGCCGAAATGAGCGTTAATACGGTTAAAGTTCCAGAGCTCAGGAATTTCGTTTCACGTATCGACAGGCTGCAGTTGCAAAAAATTACAGTCAACGCCGAATACTTCTCCAACTGGAAACGTTTATACCGAGCCGTGGCCACGTTTGCATTATATGTGAGCAGGCTGCAATCAGTGATAAGAGGCGCTAGGTCTAAAAAGATTACGATAGACTTCGAAGATACGAAACGAGCCCAAAGTTTCCTGGTGAAACACGCACAGAGTACCGAATTTAGTGAAGAGATTAGTTACCTACAACGCGGTAAGACCATCGAGAAGTCCAGCAAACTATATTCCTTAAATATTTACTTGGACTCAGAAGGAATAATTAGGAGCAGAGGCCGTGTGGAGCATCTAAATAACCACAGCGACGTTATAATTTTACCTAATTCTCACCATATAACCTTCCTTATAGTGCGGTGGATGCATGAAAACCTACATCATCTAATGCATGAGACGATTATCAATCGGGTGCGAAGTCAATATTTCATACCTCGACTCAGGGTGCTTTACAGACAGGTACGTCGTACGTGTCAAAAACGTAAGAACGCGAGCGCAACGCCTCAAATACCTCAAATGGCAGCTCTACCAGCGGCACGGCTCGCGGCCTTTCACGTACGTAGGCGTCGATTACTTTGGCCCGCTAAACGTCGCCGTTGGGAGAAGACCAGAGAAGAGATGGGGCGTTTTATTTACGTGCTTGACCCTGCGAGCTGTACATATCGAGATTGCTCACAGCCTGGGTACAAGCTCATGTGTGATGTCATCTGACGGTTATAAACCAATATGCGGAGATACTGGTAACCTACGACAACGTTGGCGCCAGGCGCAGCTGTTTGCAGACCGTTTTTGGCACAGGTGGGTCAAAGAATACGTGCTTATCATTTCACGACGCAGTAAATGGTTCGTCAAGCAAAAACCAGTGTGCATCGGCGATGTAGTTGTGATTGTGGACCATGATCTGCCGAAGAATTGCTGGCCGATAGGCAAAGTCGTGGATTCCGTCATAGCTAGAGACGGTCAAGTCCGAAGCGTGGTGAGCAAACTAAGTCCAGCATACTTCATCGACCTGTAGCGAAAATCGCAGTACTGGACGTTGGTAATGAGGAGAGTAAACTCGCGAACATATACTCGTTTACGGGCGAGGGAATGTTACCGCCGATGAGTACGGCCGAACAGTGAAATCTCGATCTGGCAACACTGAGCCGTTTCTTATTCTCCGTATCATTTTCTTATCCTTTTGAACTATTTGCCTTTTTCAACATCTACATGAATCTAGTATTTTCTATTAAATTTATCTGAATAACTGCGAATGTAAATTTCTATATATATAACTGCAAGCATTTTAAACTGTAAAAACGTGTAGTGAGTTCAATACAAAAGTTTTAAAGTGCGTAGCCACATGCGTACTATATAAAATTTGTGTTTTATTTCAGTATCCTTCACGTTTGCCGCGCTATAAAGTAAGCGCAACAGTATGGCTTACTGGTGTCAAGTAAATCTTATGCCTCTAAATCTTAAGAAATGTAAAGTAATGTGCTTATCGCGAAGAGTTGTTCATCACGCTTCTTATACAATAGGTAACCATAACCTGGAACAGGTATACAATTTTGTGGACCTTGGTATCACAATGGATCCTAAGCTTAATTTTAATCTTTATATTAATGTGACAGTCAACAAGGCTAAAGGTGTACTTGCATTTGTGAAACGATAGTCAAAAGAATTCTGTGACCCTTATATCACTAAAACCCTGTTTACAAAATTAGTTAGGCCAATTCTGGAACACGGTTCGGTGGTTTGAAATCCAAGGTATCAAATTTACTCAGACAAGATAGAATCAATTCAAAAACAATTCCTACTTTTTGCTTTAAGAAATTTCCGTTGGGATTCTCAATATAACCTTCCACCTTATACGAGCCGATTAAAACTTATTAATCTTCCTACACTTTCCAGCCGCAGGCAAATGCTTGGTACAATTTTTATAGTTAAATTACTAACAGGCTCAATTTCAAGTCCGCTTCTTCTGGGCGAAGTTAGCCTTAATGTTCCCTTCCGGGTATCGAGACACTTTTGTCCCCTGTTTCTAAAATCTTNTATGCCAGGATTTTAACTCTCATTCCAGCACGTTTGATATATCAGATCCGCTTTTCAGCATTAAGAAATCGATACTGTCCTCTCTCAATAAATGAATCATTAAAATAAAGACATAAAATCGGCTGATGAATTTAGTTCTGTAGCTGAACAGTTTTAGATCTCGACACTTAACAACCTCCTGCCTATCGTGACTCGGCGCAAAAATTGAAAATACTGGTTCCGTACGTCATGCGGACTGCACCCCTCGTGCGGATGGGCGGGAATGGAGGGTAAAAACCGTTGGGATTATTATTGATTTTATTTACTAATCAGCCTAATGGAGAGTTTCGCCAGAATTCTTTTCACCCACCCGTAGCGAATACACGGAAACGAAAAGTGAAAAGGTGACTCGGTTTGAGAAAATGAAACTCATGTTAAGGCTGAATATGTCGTCAACTAAAGCAGATATTTAAGAACAGATGACGCTATTTGAAAGATCTTGATTAGTTTAGTACGACAGTATTACTAACGTAATTTGTACCAAATTACCGAAAACATTTTAGTCAATTACTCGGAAACTAAAGAAGATATCCAACAAAATGTTAACAAAAAATCTAAATATCTTGTTTTAAAATATATAACTGCATCTTTAATTAAAAACTGTAAAAATGACGCTTACGGAAATTTTCCATTCAAGAGACGATATTTGAAAGTTACTGGCATAATTTCGAGCCTGTATGTAAATTCTCGGCAAAAGTTAAGAAGTAAATTCATATGCTGATAAGATATTTTCGCAGATTCACAATTTATTTAAAGTATATCATCAGCCCTGGTATAATTCCATGTGAATAAATCGCTCCCATAATTTAATTTTTGCGTTCAATATATTTCACAATTAACTTGAATACTAAATTACAAATATTTGAGCAACGACAGTAAAATAAAAAATGGGTATGTATTAATAAAATAAATATTCTGAGATGTTCAAGCGCACTGAAATATTTTTCATCCATTTCTCTAGTGCTAAAATAATTTTCCCCACATTGAATTGCTGCACAACACCCTTATTGCCGAAAAAGCGTTGCTTGCAACACTAGTCCTATATGGGGACCCATGATCCAACTACACAAGATCTGACAAGATGAAGCAAAAGAAAAAAGTAATTTTCTGGCTGACGTTTGTAATTTCGGTGCCATGTTATTTTCTTTGAAAAGTAAACAAAGAATATGAAGACGAAGCATAAAGAAAAAAATTCAAGCAATTTTGCCGCACATGTTTGTGCTAACCAAATTATTATTTTGTACGTGTTTTTGCCACCAATCACCGCGCACTTCATTTTAATTACATTTCCACAAAAAAATTATTGAAAATCGCTTAAAAATCACTGAAATAAACCACCGACAAAATACACATAAAGAAAGAAGCAAAACAGAAATAGCAAGCTTCAAAATTACGAACGTCACACACTTTTTTTTCTCAATTGCTATTACAAATGGGTGCTTCTCTGTTCTAATTGGTTCATGATCACGGTGCAGCGAACAAAGGTGGCGCCGTCAGTGGTACCGCTACTTTGGTTTTGCCGATTTTGACAGTTGTGGTAACTTGAATTATAAGTGAAAAATCAGTTTAAATTGTGTTAATTTGCAATTTGTGAGTGATTTTTGAGTTGAAGACTGCCTAAAAACTAATTCAATGAAGTGCTGTGTGTTAAATTGCGACAGCCGTCAAGATGCAAGAAGCGTAGATGCAAGTGTTGCGCCGGGACGAATCGCTGCATTTTGTCTACATAGGGCACGGCAAAGCCGTTCCCGAAATGTTTCTCTATTATTATACTAACAGAATTTCCTCACAAGGATTTTGTTTCTGCTCCACGCAGCCTCCATTAGCAAGTTAACTAATCAATCTCGCAGAGATGCTGCTGCAGTTTTCTGCAGCAGCCTTAATTGCAAAGCAATGGAGTGCACTAAAACGTTTGCTGAAGCAGCCTCAATTGCAAAGCAATGGAGTGCACTAAAATGTTCACTGTTCTCTAATAGATTAGGAGAAAAATGCAATATTATCACANTGTTCAACTTTGCATTCAACTTTTGGTTGAATGGCCTTTCAACTAATCGCTTTCAACAAAGTTGGTCGCCAGCCAACATTTAGCCATTCAACTTTTTTTTCGTGCAACCCTGCGTTGAGTTGAACGCAATTGTTGAACGCAAAGTTGAATAATGCAAACACTGCTTTAGCAAAATTAAAACACGATTTTCGCTGTAAAGTGAACTGCTTCGGCAGTTTCAACTCGTTCTTCTTTTCGCTCTATTCTTTGTTTACTTGTGGTACACAAATGTCAACGCCCAGGACGGCGCAATCTTGTATTCTATCATTCTTGGTTCATGATGGGGACCAAATTTGGTGCAAAAAAATAGCTAACCGGCCGTCTTCACATGCTTGAAAATCTCGCTTGCGTTCTGCTTTTTTCTCTCGCAAGCGAGATAGAGTTTTGTTGACTAGGCATTTGACAGCATACTTTTTCATTTGTAAAATGTCGCCAAACAAGAAGGTTCAAGCCTTGCAGGCTCTTAAAAGTTTGAGAAAATTAGAAAATCTGCATAAAGAGATGTATACTATTTTCAAATGAAAAATGGCTGCCTCTAAATTTGTATTTGCCTCAAAATAAACGATGTTGCTACTCTGAAGAATTCTGCGAAATGAGAACATAGCTTTCCAACAACAAAAATGACAGTTGAAAGCAAGCGAGAGCTCGCNAAAAAAGAACCTTTGCCAGCTTCAGGCATGCGCAAAGCGAAATTTTTGTACAAGCAGCGCTGCGTTCAAACAAACAAACACTGTACATCATGTATTTCGTTTGGCAACTGTTCTTGTTTTTTTTTTACTTCAAAATGCTGCTTGCTGCGATCAGTGTTGCCAGGTCTTCGGCATGAGAAAACGTCCCTCTTGGTCTGAAAAAGCGTCATTTCCTACCCAAAAACGTCTTTTTCAAATGAATGTACAAAAAGTTGTTCTTATTAAACTTTTATTGTATACAAAGGTATATATGTACGTAAGGTATATTAAAATGTAATTTCGACAANTTTTCAAATGAATATACCAAAAGTTGTTCTTATTAAACTTTTATTGTATACAAAGGTATATATGTACGTAAGGTATATTAAAATGTCATTTCCACAAAGCACATTTAAAATTCATTGTAAACTGGTTTGAGATCGTTAATATAAAAATCATTTTATACATACACTTGTGATCAGCTGATTAAGTCATCAACATTTTGATCGATTTTGGCTGTTTCTCTTTTGTATATTATTTTTCCATAAAAACCAAGCTCATTATATATATAAAATATAAATCCACATTTCAAACTTTGTGCAAAAATTAAAAAAAATCTCGAAAGTTTCAGCTAGATTTTCAACTTTTTATTCAGATTTTTTAGATTTTTTTTTTTGGTATGCAGTGATAGCCCATTAAATTTCGGGGCAATAATGTGCAAGTTCAAAGGCGCTAAATAATCGCGTTGATTTTCAATAATTTTCTTTTCTAGTATACATTTGGTTAGGGGGTCGGTTGTCGAAAATGCTAAATTACGTTCTGCTAAGAAGGAGCATAGCAATATTTCAGCCGTTTTTGCGTTCATTCCATTTTCAATGAAGTCCTAAAAAAGTCGCCTACTTTTTTCTGACTTTTTATGCTTCGCAGCTTTTTTTATGCTTTTGTGAGCGTGCGTGTTGCAATAGATCGGCTCTTCCTGATTTGGCTTTAACAGGTCTATTCTGCGCTGGTAATAAAAAGTTTGTAACCGGTAAATAAAGTTCCTGTAAATTTTTAAACCCTTTTCGCATTCTGTGTAATCTTGTAACCGGTAAATTTTGTTACCATCTCATAAGCTGGTAACAAATTATTGCCCCGTGAAATATGCAATGCCAGGATTTTCACAATTCTTCATAGCTGAATTGCTGAATATTTTAACTGCATTACCAACGTACCTAGAATCGCGGTGACAAGAACTGGGAACATTTTTTGGTAATACAATTTTCCGGTTACAAAATCTTCGGTAACGTGCAGAATAGACCTGTTAATGTGCAATAGCAAACATTTCAATAAGCCTCGTAACCTCAAGTGTTACACAACCAGCCTTTGAACACGGGATCCTTAGTCCAAGAATCCAAAAGAAATGCGCGTACGCTTCGTTTGCATCATATTTAAGTCATCTGTGTCCAAAGAATAAATATATTTTGAAGCAGCTGTGGCGAAACACAAGCTTGTAAAGATTTATTAAGAAAATAATTCAAAATCAGTTCTACTTACAAGATTTAGTAACAGAGAAAAATTACTGGGAAGTTAAAAAACGTCATTTTTAACACAAAAACGTCAACAGGATACAAAAAACGTCCAAATGACGTTAAAAACGTCAACCTGGCAACGC